CTGCAGGAGCGGGGGGCCTCCGTGGGCCCCTGCAGCAGCAGGGGCCCCCAGGGGGGCCCCTGCTGCTGCAGAGAAGTCATAGTGGTGGATGTGCAAACTGATGGGGCCCTCAGAAGAAGGGTCTCGGAGGCGCAGCAAATGGTGGGCTGTACCCCCTTGGGGGGCCCCCGGGGGGCCCCCCCGGCCTCGCGGCAGCGGCGAAGAGTTGAGGCTTTGCGCAGACTTGTTTTGAAACTTATCAAAACCCCCGCAAACCCTAGCGAGGGTTTAGAGGTTAACAGAATTGCCGAGGGTTTAGGAGGGTTTGTGCCTCTCGGCTCCGTCCGCTTCGGCAGCAGCAGACACAGAGCGCTCCTCTTCAAGGCGAGCACAAACCCTAAACCCTAAACCCTAAACCCTTCCCTCCCGCTGCGCCACTGCCGTCGCCCGTGCAGCACACCAGCGCGGCGCGCCCTCGCGGGGTTTCCGACCCAAGCCTGGAGTTCAGGGTTTAGGGTTTAGGGTTTAGGGTTTAGGGTTCAGGGTTTGGTGTGCGCAGGTCCTCTGCGACTCCGTGGGAATACCCTGCAGGCTGATGAGGGGCCCCCCAGGGCCTCCAGGGGCCCCCGAGTTTGTCTACAACGTGGTGCTAATAGGGTCTGGCCAAGGTGCGAAGCTAGAGTTTAGGGTTTAGGGTTTGGGGTTTAGGGTTTGAAGAGTTGGTGCGGGCTCCTGGGGCGCAGCTGCTGCCAGTTAGTGATGGCTTCGGGTTAAGGGTTTAGGGTTTAGGGTTTAGGGTTTGTGTTTCAGAGGCTGAGCTTGAGCACTTGATGCCGATTCTTTGGGGGGACACTCCAGAAACCGTGGAGGGTCGGGGGGCTCCCCAGGGGGGTCCCCAGGGGGCCCCCGACGGGGGCCCCCTGGCCGCGGGGGACTCTGGGGGCCCCCCTTCCTTCTCGCTGCAGCTAAACCCTCCCCAGCTGGGGAGGCCCCCCTGCAGCGGCAGTCCTTGTTGCAGCTTCTGTGGTCCCCGGAAGCCCTGCGGGTCTTCTAAGTGCATTTACCTGGCCAATCAGCAGCAGCAGCAGCAGCAGCAGCAGCAGCTTGCTGCGGAGCGAGATTTGGACCGGTTTCTGCTGCAGTGAGCGAGCTCGCAAACCCTAAACCCTAAACCCTAAGTGTTGTGGCCCCGGTTGGCCACAGAAGAGGCCCGTCTGGCCGCACTTCCTCGACGGATGCAGGCCTAGGGTTTAGGGTTTAGGGTTTAGGGTTTAGGGTTTAGGGTTTGCGCGCAGGGCCAGCGGGGGGCCCGCTGCAGACCTAGACCTCGACTACTTCTTTACTTTTCATGACAAACTTGGGAAAGGTAATTTCGGAGAAGTTTGGAGGGTTTCTTTGAAGCCCCACGCGCTGCGGGCCCCGGGCCACCCCCCCCGCAGCTGCAGCAGCAGCAGCAGCAGCAGCAGCAGCAGCAGCGGCCGCTTGGGGGCTGCGAGAGGCAGCAAGAAGGAACAAGACGCGGAGGAGGAAAGGGGGGAGCAGCACGCTCCGCAGTACGCCCTCAAACTCGTGCCCAGGAAGTAGGCCCCAAACCCTAAACCCTAAACTCTAAACCCTAAACCCTAAACCTCGAAGTTGCAGCTCATTTTTCTCCTGCGGGCCTTGGCGTCTCTAAATCCTAACTAGCAGCACACCTTGCAGGTGCATGCTGAGGCCCCGGGGGCCCCAACTCGCAGCAGCAGCAGCAACCACAGCTGCAACCGCAGCAGCAGCAGCAGCAGCAGCAGCAGCAGCAGCAATCCTCTGCCCCCCTTGCTGCTGCTGCTTGTATCCCCTTCATCACCTAACACTGCCCTTTCGCCTCCCTGCTGGCCCTCTGCTGCTCCCGCGCCTGTGCTGCTGCCGCTGCTGCTGCTGCTGCACTGCTGCTGCTGCTGCTGCTGCTGCTGCAGAGATGAGAACGTGCCGGAGGCGGAGATAATGCGCAGCTACACCCACCCCCGAATAGTCCCCTTTTTGGGGGTTTTTGGAGGTTTTCAAATGCTGGAAGACAGAACAAAAAGAAGAACCAAACACAGCAGCCTTTGCTTCCTCATGCACGTCGCAGACGAGTCCCTCGGTGAGGCCCCCGCAGCTAGCTAGCTGGCTAGCTAGCTGGCTAGCTAGCTGGCTAGCTGGCTAGCTAGCTGGGTAGCTGGATAGGCAGCTAGCTGGGTAGCTGGCTAGCTGGATTAGTAGCTAGCTAGGTAGCTAGCTGGCCAGCTGGCTAGCTAGCTGGCTAGCTAGCTGGCCAGCTGGCTGGCTAGCTAGCTGGCCAGCTAGCTGGCTATCTAGCTGGCTAGATGTGGCTAGCTAGCTAGCTACCAAGCTAGCTAGCTAGCTACCTAACTAGACAGCTAGCGAACAGAATAGCTCAACAGCTAGCTTGGTAGGCAGCTATCCACCCATCTAGCTAGCTAACCTGCCACCCAACTAGCTAGCTAGCTAAGTACTTAGCTAGCTAAGTAGCTAGCGAAGTATCTAGCCAGCTAGCTAGCTAGCTAGCTATCTGTCGTTAGCTGTTTCCTAGCCCAACTTTGAGTGGAAGGAAGGCGCTGCACAGCAGAGCGCCGCTGCCGCGGCCTTCGCCGCTGCTGCTGCTGCTGCTGCT